GATAAAGGTCGACCGATCAAATCATACTAAAATTACCAACACTCAGTATAAGTAAATTGGCAGATTCTCGGGCTAAGATTAGATAATATCATTTTCGTTTTAACGGTCGGGTCAATGTAGAAAAGGAGTTTTTGTTAATATTGTGTCGGGTCTGGATGTTGCGGCACATTCGTTCTCTCGGATACTTTATAATAATAAGGTTTTAGCCTGTAATCTTGGAATTTAAGCATGTTTGTGATGTTGATCATTATTTATTTATTTATATAATTATTAGTGGAATACGTAGTATATAAGGAAATTTCAATAATATTTATATAGTCGTGATGGATTTATCCGCCACGTGAATCGCAAAACATGTAGCTGAGATATTTTGAATTGTAGATATTTGAACTTTCACAATACAAGCGCTGCCAGAGTTGTTTGAGTTTCAAATCAAGTCCAATTCGAAATGCGATCGAGAATATTATCCTGGATACTTTTCATATATTAATAAAATCAGAGTATCAGGTGGATGAAAGAGATGCTACCATTGATTTGACTAAAACTATTCAAGAAAAAGAAATTAAGTGAATGCATTGGCTTTGAAACATCAGAGAAAAGTTGTGGACATCAAGTCTAGAAAACATTATAAATTTCAACTTTGTTTATAGAACAGCTAAAACAATAAAAAAACACCTAAATAATTTTCATATACAGCCCTGCGATTCTGTAAAAATACAAACCCGAATTCGAATTCACTCAGGTGTATGAATACACATCCAAAATCAGCATCCGCTCAACCTTGAATGGGTAATAAAGATTCGTGGCATAAGTGAAGTGAGTTTCGAAATGACATAGAAATAGAATATCTGAGACATGTATATTCAATCAATTTTCTTTTGTATTTTTATACAAAAAATGGAATCAATAGAATTTCTACACTAAATGACGTGGATTCGGCCATATGAGTGAATTCGAATTTGGGTCTGGATTTTTATAGAATTACAGAGCAATTCACCCTTACTTCGTCGAAGCAATGAATCTAAAAACAAAGTGCATGCAGGAAATGGGTCGTATAACGCTGAAATGCGTCCATAAAGTTCACACGTAATACGCAGTAAATATCCGAGAAGATATTTATCAGAATAACCATCTGACAGACGTCTTTCTGCACTGTTTCAAGTTCAATGCTGTCAATGTTACGCGCAATTCTAACTCTGCCGCTTGCTAACTAGCTTTGTGTGACGAAATGACCGTGCTAGAAGCGTGTCATTTGATTTCATAACACTGCGGCTATGACGTCACGGCACGTTAACTACGTACAATAAATCGGCGCCTCGCTATGACGCCTGCATCGATTAAATAGTCGCATAGTTTTATTGGGAATTATGTGGTAATCGATTTAATCGAGGACACCACCTCGCGAATTCATTGTAAATACGTCACAACACAACGCCCTTGGTTTTTTTTTTCATCGACCTTAAATATCGTTCTACGATCAACAGTGGACTTCCTAAGAATTTTAATTAAAATGCTTCTACGTTCTCGTTTTTGTTTCAGCGATATCAGAAATTCCATTTCAAAATTATTTGATTTAAATTTACTTGATTAAATTTTTATTTAGACTGAATATGAAGTTTTTTTTTTTGGTAGAAGCTTTTTATTAAAGACCTTGACCTGACCAACTTTCCACTAAAAACCAAATAGCATATTTATCTCTGGAACGCCGATGATCTTATTCCAGTTACGTTATAAAAGTTTTAGAGCTATAGAAAAATTTCGAATGCAAAATTAACCAAAACCTTAGACTTGTCAATTTACGTTAGTTACCTTGAGTATAGTATATGGTTCAAAATATTATAGAACCATGGAATAATACGGCCGGCTATCTATATTTAATGTTTGTTTTTGCTGATAAAGTCTTCAACTATCATGTGCTAACTCAGGTGACACTTCAATGGTACTCATAGGACTTGCGTTACATTATAATTTATGGTTTATTATTATTATAGGGGAATAACGTCGCACTTTTTGGGGGGAATTGCGTCACATTTTTGTAGAGATCTTGACACTTGATAATATGCACTAGCTACAAAGCATTTCCGATAACCATTATATCATGCTCGGAGTATATCTGACAGAAAACATGTCATGCAACTCGAGTGTTATTGGTCGTATAACATGAGAACTGAAAAATATATGTGACACTAAATAGATAATGATTGGAGAAACAAATGTGGAGTGACGCATCGACGTATACTAAAGGGTGGTACCGAGAGAAGCTTTTCCCACATCGCAAATTGTGTAGAAACTTGTCTCATATTTCAAATTAAATCGCGTCAATGTCAAATTGAAACGCGGCTAATAAGTGTTGCATACTTGCGGGGTCATATGTGGTTTTGCGGTGACCTAAATATGGAATGCGTCAAGTGCTTTTCCTCTCGAAGTATCAATGGTGAAGATGGTCAGCGCAGTTACTTGACGAGTTAATTCGAACACATTTTGAGACATTTAAAGATGAATCGATACCACCTTTACTTGATACCAGTATTTAGAATATTGCTACAATTGCGTACTTTTTCTTGTAGCATTTCTTATTGAAAGATGAAGGCAATATGGATTACCAAAGTTCAGCCTACTCTGTTTCTCCGAAAACGAAATTTCTTCTATTTTCGTAACCCGTTTATGACTCCAAAGATTCGAATTTCTCGATAATTTATGATGTAAAAGAGGTGAGACCTGACACTGCCTCTGATTCACAGATAATTTTACCGGTTACGATTTTAACAAAAATTATAATAACAGAGTCTTCCTCTGTTCGTTTAATTATTCCACTTATAAATGCGCAAATTTGTGATGATGGATGTAGCATTTTTTATTTCATGTAAATGAAGGGATTTTTGGTGAAATTTAGTGCACAGATAGAAATATAGGCTACTTTTTATCCCACTAAACGGTTTCCTAGTTCTAAAGCTAATTCTCTATGAATATTTCTTGTTATTACTTAATCAAATTATACGCAGTTTTATTCATAATCTATGAATTGTTTATTGAATACATTATCGATTGTATATGGATGATTATGGATAGAGATTCTTAGATAGAGATCTCGCTACACTTTGTTGATTTGTGTTGATGTGCCAATCATTTGCCAGCTGCATGTGATTTAGCATTAACCGTAATGATTTTCGAGTAATTAATTAAAAATAAATTTTGGCGCATTATTTTGTACGATACGCCATTGTTTATATTACACTGCCCACGCGATTTCGTCTTGTTTTAAGCTTGACACGTACTTTTAATTACTGTGATTCGGATTCTCGTGATGTCGTCGTGTTATTTGAAAACTGCTTAATTGTTCCGGGTTAAGAGTGTAATTAAAATTTGTTTTATTTCTATTAAAGTTTGTTAAATTTTCAAAACCGGTAAATAAATTAAACTATATTATTGTGACCTAAACCCATAGGTTTTCTTCATCAGCTACAAAACAGGAGCATCTGTTTTTTTTCTTTTTCAAAACGGTTGTCACAGTTTTAATTATAGACTAATATTTTTAAGGTTGCATATTGCCTATAGCCTCGAGGATTATGCGGCGTGCTATCTTACAATCTTTCTCGCTCTAGCAAATGACGGTTCCGAACGACAAAAGATAGGGCAACAGAAAAGACGATACCGTACTACCAGTCGTAGCTCAACCCTTATTTACTTTATTAAAGGAAATCTCAAACAAATATTAGGTACTTACATATGAAATTGGTGTTTGATATTCGAGGAGCAAAAAGTCGAATATTTTTTTTATATATTTATTTAATCAAAGTATAAACCGTTGTTGATATGAGATGGCAAAAGTGGCAAGATTCCAAGATTCCTTTCAAAATATCACCATCTTTGAAGTACTGAGTTCAGTACTACAAAGATGGTGATATTTTGAAAATGGCATACGTGTCCCACATCTACGGAGGTCGTCAAAGATTTTATACAATACATTCTCTACGTGTCTTCATGCCAGATCTATTGCAGAGTAGTCAGCGACAATCGGGCGCCATAAAACATTATAATAATTTAATTACGATAATATTATTGTCATTAAATTTATCCTTTTATAGGTATATAAATATCAGTGATGCCAAATAGGTGAATGTCCTATGCAAAGTGAGTCAAGTCGCGAGATCACTTAACAGCAATGACGTCATGCGTGTAATATCCTCAAAGCAAGTTTTCCAATGATAGCAGTTACTGCGCTGACGAGCATTGTGGTTAATAAAATATGTTAAATTTCACTATTTTTTAATACTTAATATAAAGATTTTGTCTCTAATTCGTCTATTTTTCAGAACGAAAGTAATATGTTATTTTAAAAATTAACTGTATCAGTCATTATATTACATTTGGGCGTAGTTGATCTTTCTAGTAGTAAAGATCCTTAAATCCGAATTTCTTGAGCGTTCGTCGTCCATTAGTGATGTGATTCCAATTATCCGGTGAATTATTTAATGTAGACTTCTTATGTCATCGAAACTTCCGGATACCTTATCAGTTGCGCTGATAATTGTCATGTTTTTGATGATTCAACAGTGAATATCTAACTTACTTGTTGTGACGTACGAGCTTCGCATGCTGCGGTCGCATGAATAAAATGTTTTAAAGGAATCTTGTTTTTTAATAGCAGAGTAAAACGATATATTTGAAATAGAAAATTAAGATATATATTTAATGTTTCTGTAAGAAATATATCCAATAACAAATTATACTTTATCGAAATTTTGATACATTTTCATATAAGCCAAGCGAATCCGTAAGCCGATCCCGAATTTCTTGGACTTATGACGATAATAATTTTAATTAAAAAATAAATTGAAAAGGAATGTCAATAATATTCTTTCATCTAGCTTGTAACTTTTCCAAAAAGACTTTTCAACCTGCATAATTTTCATAAAAACGTGTACAAAGTTTTGGGTAATAATTCTATGATATTTACGTGATAATTTTATGATATGTACATTATATTCTCGTCTTTGCAGGTTTTGGAATGCAAATCTAAACGGACTGGTGCCAGAAGAGCTTTGAAGGTTCTCCACGACAGTGCTAAAGCCAGGAGAGAGGTGGAACTTCACTGGAGAGCCAGTGGCTGCATTCACATAGTAGAGGTAAACAGTCGTCTATGGTTTTTTATTCCTTGTAATGAAAGAAACGAAAATCGATCCATTAATTTTTAATGGCAATATTTAAAAGAATGCCATACGAATCTTCTTTTTCCTCTTAATTTTTGTTATAGATCAAAAATATCTCATATTTATCAAGACGCTATTGTATTAATAATACGTGGTTAAAAGTGGGTAAATAATGCAACGAAAAAATACGATCAATTGAAAAGCAATGAGGAAGTATTTTAAGAAAAAAAAAAGAAAGCACCTCACTAGATAGCGACTCTAGCAAATGTTGATTTTCGCAGGAAACCAATGGACCAAAGATATAATCATTTCCGTTCCTTTTAACTAACATAATAAATAACTAAAATTTGCAAAGTTCGAAACTTAAATATCACATCACAAATACGAAAAAGTACAAATAAAATATGAGTTGTTTATTGAGTTTTGAAAATTAATTTACTATTATACATGAAAGAAAACCGAAGAAAGTACCGTAGCGACATCTCGTTTGATTTCGGGGACTAATGTTTTTTTAGTTCGTGTGTAACCAAAATCGCCGACTTTCAATTGAACAAAGTAGTAATTACGGAATAAGTTGTTATTAAAAACAAGATAACTACATCATATTTCTAAGGTTTTTGACGCAGAAAGTGGCTCCCGATTCGTCTTTGCCGGAATGCGCATATAGTTTCCCTTCTTTACAGTATTTTGTTTAATCCACTTTCGCCATCTTATCTTAAGGAACGTTTTAATTTCCTTCATAATACCCACACTCGAGTTTTGAGATCATCAGAGAACTTAAAATTGGAGACACCGATGCATTTCACGAAATTTCTTAACAAATCTTTTATAGTTCAGGCTGCACGTCTCTGGAATGCATTGCCCGAAAATATAAGACGTGCGCAAACGGTAGATAGATTCAAAAATCTAGTAAAGGAGCACTATCTGTCATTATGACCTTTTTACACTATATACCTATATATATTTTATTGTTATAGTATGTTTGATAATTATCTATGTATGTTTATATCATGTACATTTAAGACACCATAGACTACCTAATTATTGATTTAAATTAAAATTTTCCAAAGTAACGGTTGCCTGGAAGAAATTGCTTCTTAGCGATAAGGCCGCCGATTGTACTATTTGTCCTATATTATTGTTACCTATTTTATTTATTGGTGTTTTTGTACAATAAAGAATTATTCTATTCTATTCTATTCTATTCTATTCTATTCTAATTTATTTTAAAACATGGTCACCATATAAATCACAAAACTCCTAAAGTTATGGTGAATTTTCTTATTATTTCTCATAAGGAATTAAGTATGTAAGTCACTTTGTATCCGAGTGATTTACGGTGCACTCTTACAGTAATATTAATGGTTAGCAAGTAATTCATTAAAATAGTTCCAACATTTGTCTCTATTTTATCGAGGAACGTGTTGATTTCGTTTAGTTTTTTCTTATATTTATCGTCGACATGCCGGCATATACACTTCACATTCATCACATTTGTGATATTATATTAACCAAGAATATAAATACATATATATAAATATTAATGGACATTACATACGTTACTCAGATTCCAAGTTCAGTAGCCAGTATTATGGAGTATCTGATAAAAAATATAGTAAAGTCCCTTTTTTATGTATTGACCCGGCCGGGAATCGAACGCGGACCTCAAAGATGGCAACACCTTGAAACCGACGTACGAACCATTCAGCCACGGAGGTTGTCAATTTCGATGTGATTATATTATGTGATTATTAATCACTTGAACTTATATCTTCTGAGTGCGAAATGGAGTATGAGTAATAAGATACGCTTTACAAAGTGAATAATGCAGTTTTGAAGTTAAAAATAAATGGTTTTCTGTCTAAATAATTAATGAGTCAATGTTATGTTACTCATATATTTATCGCGCATTCAAACCGTATCCAATAACCGTTCCAACTACATTAGATAAAAACACACATTCACATATTTATAACTAGCTTTCGGTCAGCAGCTTCGCTCGCTCTTACTGTTTAGTGGAAAAGTATCCTATATGTTAATCCGAGCTAAGAGTTATCCGTATACCTAATTTTATCAATATACGTTCAGTATTTTTTGCGTGAAGAAGTAACAAACATCCAAACTAACAAACATTCGCCTATATTAGTAAGATAAGCAATCGACCCTTACTTAATGCTTTGGAAGGAACGTTATACCTTTGCTCCCGGCTGCATTCGCAGTCGTTAAAACTATGGTCCATTCTCCTTATTCGATTCCATTTATAGGAAAAGCATGTGCACCAGCAATGGAGATATTGACAAGCTGACAATACGCATACCTTCCTCGTTAGTTAAGAGTCCTAAGGATTGTATTATGATAAATTATGAATTATGATCAGTGGTCGGAATTAGGTAGAGTTATTCATGTACTTACACTGATTTCATACAGCGAAAAAATAAAGTGGATATGCCTTAAATCCCGAGATAAATTTTAAAGAGCAGAAAAAATCCCGTGATTTTTTAAATAAAAAGTTATTTACTTTTACACAATTTAAACTACTGCACGCACGACGTTGCCAAACTTACATCAATGACATCGGATGTCCAAAGTTGCAAAATACCAATACGCGCGATGTTGCCACGATGGTCCACATTATATCAACATTTCGATGCAAGTAGATAAATAACTCTACCTAATTCCGACCTCTGATTATGATACTCAAAAGAGATAGTAGAATTGGAATGAGGAATAATCTTGAAACCAAATAATTATAAATGCACTGTATGCTTTCGCTATGGTTTCAAAAATTGATTTGAAATGTCGTTAATTGATTTAGGAAAGGAATTTCAAATACTACTAGAGCATTTGTATTATGGAAATGAAACATCGAAGGTCATCACACACAGATCCGAGAGCCGAGGCTATATCGAAAATATAGTTTTCTACATTTTCGTCTGTTGAATTTTGAGTTAAGAGCTCTTTAGGAAGTTTTGGCGAATCGCCTTCAATTAAGCGTTATTTATTTTCAGCTGTTTATGCCAGTATTTCTTTTTGAAGGTCTTTCTTTAGGCTTAAGATGAGTCTTTTTCTTGGACATGCCTTCGAAATATGAGTGTACCGTCACATTCTGAAGGTCTCGTGACGTGACAAGCTGTCCAACTTCTTTTCTCTTATTTACCTTCTTCAAAAGACGGGTAAAGATCTCAGGCTCATTGACACCATCAAATGCCGCATAATGTCTTATTTTGGCCACGTGATGAGGAATAATAAATTCAGAATTCTTCATCTCATAATACAAAGGAAAATACTGGGAAAACGCAGTGCTGGAAGAAGGCGACATTCCTGACTCAAGAACTTCAGAGATTGGTTTGGGCGGAACACTACATTCCTGTTCAGAGCAGCAGCCTCAAAAATAAAGATAATCATGATGCTGCCCAATTTCCAATGGGAATGGCATATCAAGAAGAAGATTTGTTTAAAACTGTTATGAAATTTATATATTTTTTTTTGTATGAATTTAAAATGACTTGGAGTTTATGTCTCTCTGCCTTTTAACTTAGTTTTCCAGATTAATTATATTACAAATTGCATCACAATAGACAATACATGTTTAACGTATCGTTAGTGACTAAATGACCCATGAACTAAACACAATGACGTATTAGAAATACGTGATTAGTCTGTATCTTATTGTCTGCGCATAGGGTTGCCAGGCGTCCGGATAAATAGTTAGGCTTTTTTATTGCGTATCCGGACAAAATAAACGGTGCCCAGCTTATCGAATCATATCCATTTCGAAAGTAACTCGAAATAAAGTTCTAAGACGTAAGAATTTGAGAACATTTATGGTAAATTAATCAGAAAAAGTTTGTATTAATATTATATTAACACATAAATCTGGTAACCCTATCTGCGCAACCACCACGCAGAAAAACACTGTTTAATTATTTTTATAAATATAGAACTCCAATTCAAAGGCAATTATTTTTAAAAAGTTTAAGTCGCGCGACTACATTGACTTCGATTTTATTGACATCCGATTTAATTAAAACACACTCATCCTTCCACACACAGAATATAATACATATATTCAATAAGTGACTTTTTCTTATATTTGGGCGAATTATGAGAGCAAATGCAGATGCAAATGCGGATTTTTTATATTTTATACAAAGGTTAATTCTGATCAAAACAAAAACTATAGAATAGGCAGTAAGGAATAGTAATTTTGCTTGAATTCAAAATGGCATTCACTAGTATACACGCTCGTAATTAAGGCCTTTTTGGCCAAGGCTAAAAAAGTATTTAATGGTACCCAGTACAAACGTCAAATAACACGTTGTCGTATTGCAGATTATAATATTATTTGTGAGCTAGCAACTTATGATTTTCGAGCTATTACTGCAATGATATGGATATGATAGGGGACATAGAGGCAAGCTAATTTCCATTGTTTCGTTATGTAGTTACATACAAAGTATTAGGAACGTTATTTTATTCGTCGTAATCGATCTATTGATGTCTCCTATGCTGGAGCACAGGATTGATATGGATGCAATCGAATAGGGAGAAAACCAACCACGCGAGTCCAGTGAGGATTATCGGACTACACAAGTAGCTCGGTGACGTAGTGGATAAGTGCCGCGGCCCGAAATCGTTGTTGTTAAGCTACTTTCGCAATGTCGGGGTCACGGGATGGGTGACCAAAAAATTATTATCTCTACTACTACTCTGCATTCAGAAGGCACATTAACCCATTGTTCCCGGCTGCATTTGCAGTCGTTGATACTCTCTAATTCGTTTTGGTCCAGCGTGGAGGGTCATGACCCTGATCCTTAAAAAGGATGGGACATGGCCCTCCTTAACCATCTATAAGGAAGGCCTAAGCCCCTGCAGTGGGGACGTAAAAAGCTGCTGATTATGATTAACGACTGTACATCTTAACGCACCTTCCTAAACGCGTAGGAGTTAAAGATAGTACTATTTTGGTCACCCATCCTATGACTGACCTGTGCAAAAATTACTTAACAGACGACCCGCAAATCACTCCATCGAGCCACTCACTAATTGTCTTGGTTTACCTATTTTTTAATTTGTTTATTGATTCTTATGTTTCAGATCATAGATGTGTATGATAACACATATGGTGGCAAACGATGTCTCCTGGTTGTGATGGAGTGCATGGACGGCGGGGAACTCTTCCAGAGGATACAGGACAACAGGGAAGGTGCTTTCACTGAACGACAAGCCGCTGAGGTGAGATTATGACTATGGAATAAATCTATATTTTATTTATTGATTACGATGGACTCTATTAGATAATAAGACTACAGGGGCCTCCAGCAGGACATTTCTTCTAAAGTTCACGTAATAATACCATTTAAATAGAATCTCAGCAATTTCGGTTTTACCATTACTATCTACTGTTTACCTGAAGTCCAATATTATTAGTACAATGGCAAAACGCAAGTAGTTCAGATACTATTTCTATATAGTCTCTAATTTCAAAGTCTATCTATGAAAATATATGAAAATATTCACTGCTAATCTCACAAAGTCGTTACAATGACAATAGATGTTCAGTTTTGGTGCCAAGTTCTCTTCTTCTTCAACAATAGCCATTTTGTATAAGCTATTAAGGTCTGTTTTTGCTCAGCGTTACCAGTATAAGGTAATTAGGTTGAATGAAATTGATGTAGTTTATCTTTAATAACATAATTCAAGCAGACGAATAATTATCTGTAAAAAATATTATGTACTTATTATATATTTATATTTGAAATAGGTATATGTTATTATATATTCTATTTCCATTCACTATCTTATCTTAATCTTAATGCTATAAATAAATAGCATTATGATTAATCGCTTAAATTTTAAAAAAGCATGGTATTTAAAATATTATAACTATCATTTAATATTGAGTCTGTCTCTCAAAATGGTCAGCAAGTTTCTTTTGCCGACTTCTCTGGACCAATAAAAATGAATTATCTAACATAGTATAAAATTAAGTCTCTTCCCGTTGTCTGTACGCCGAAATCTTTTAAATTACGCCACGGATATCAATACGGTTTCGTATACAGAGTGATTAAAGAGGAAGGTTGTATAGTACAGGTTCACGAAGCCGCTGGCGGGAAGCTAGTGAATTTATATTATAACACTTGTATCTATCTAGATTAAGTTGAGAAAATTAATTACTCGAGCACATTTTTTTATACAATAGACGAGAATTTGAATGGTACAATAGTTGTTAAAAGCTAATAATAATAATAGTGTTCTAACTATTATCAGTTCTTGGTTCATTCAAATTCTTGTATATTTATCAAAAGTATCTACTTTTCTTACCTGTGACATTTTCTCAAGTAATTAATTCTCTCAATTATTGATAGGTATCCAAATAGTTGTACAAATTTCTAAGATATGTATAATATATGCTATCAAAGTTGTATTTTAGCGCCATTGCCTTATCGGCGATCGATAAAATAAAATGGCTGATAACGAAAATAGAAATGTTTGAAGTTTATTTGATTATTAACTTGTATTACGGATATTCATTGTGATTGTTAGATGTGTTTTTATTACCTAGAAATAGAATGAGACGCGCTCAAGGGGTTTTATTAAACTTACTTTTTTTTGTTGATTTTAAAGAAATGATCTAGCGTTTTGTGTAAACAGAAACATGCATTTTAACAATTTGCTTGATGAAATTTCTATTCGTTGTTGTTTCTTTTCTATAACAAACTCTACAAAATGGAGTTTGCAACGGATTATGAGACCTGCTCTTCAATTTATAATATTTTTTTAATAATTGTAATGATATTTATTTATTTTCTTAATGACAAATCCTAAAAAATCCACTTTATCCCTGGCACTCTGAGATAGGACTCGAACCCACGATCTTTCGCAACCCGGGCGACTGCTCTAACCACTGAGCTACCCAGGACCTGACAGAACTGTCGTATTTTTCAAGCACTTGCTACTTTTTTTGCTACTACAGAGCCTATTTTTTTCATCAATGTTCAGACAATCCACCCAAAACAGCCGAAAGTAAGAAATAGTAGCTAGGTCACTAAAATATTATTAAATATAATATTAATAATTAAAAAAAAACACGACACTTAATTAGTTAAGTTTTGTTTTTTCGTTTGGATTTTTTTACATTTTTTTTAAATATATTTTTTATTCCAGATTATGCATTCCATATGTGTGGCGGTACGTCATTTGCACGATTCAAACATAGCACACCGGGACATCAAACCGGAGAACTTGTTGTACACGAGCATGGAGCCGAACGCGGTTCTCAAACTGACAGACTTTGGTTTCGCTAAGGAAACTTTGACGCCCGCTGACACGTTGCAGACTCCGTGCTACACCCCGTATTATGTTGCCCCAGAGGTAAGACTTTATTTGTGCATTATGCTTTTACTTATTTTGAATAATTAGCTACTCAGTGCAATCTGAAGTTATTATATTTAAATTTTAATAAAGTATAAAAATTAGACAGGTATGGAATTGTGCCAACTTTTGATATCGCAACAGTAAATGTCGCTCATTACCGCTTATTAGTTTATGTCTTCATAAGAGCCTATTGAATGTAAATAATAAAAAGTATGTAAATTAATGAAATATTGTATAGAATTGTATTCACTTAAACTCTATAGGCCGTATCGATTCTATATAAAGTTACACACATCTCTTTTGTGATGCTTTACTATCTATGACGAACATTTTTTTTTATTACTATATCAATCTAGGGAACAAAGAAAAAGTTGTCTTTCTTCGTATATTAAATATCATAACGGAAAGTGACAAAAAAAATTAAATTATTGACATGGTTTTTGTAGATATCGTTATTTCTATAAGAGCTGACGAAATTCTTCCGCTCGTTCTTATCAGTCTAAATAAGTGTAGCGGGCTAATTATGTCAATGTTTACGTAACACTCGCATCTCAATAGGATCTCAGCTACTTGCATATTACCATTTTAGTGCAATGTCATCTTACACCCGTCAGTAGCGACAGACAATAATATTGGACTTCGGGTAAATAGTACATTAGCAGAATTGGCCTACAGAAGGGGCGGTGGCAACAATTGTTGGGACTATACAAAAGAACCTTAAATAAGTTTATTTCAATAATTACATTTTGACTCGACTTCAAGTAGCTCGCTCGCAATGTGAGTGAGATGAACATCTAATCCATTGCAATTTTCACTTTATGATTATTAAAACAAGACTCACTTTTGTCATCTTCGAACACAATCTATTATACAGTCGAGTTTAACTGTTATACTTGTTTAAATATTTTGCTTTACTTGACCATTGAATTTTTTTCTTCAGGTGCTTGGTCCGGAGAAATATGACAAATCGTGTGACATCTGGTCGCTGGGTGTTGTGATGTACATATTGCTGTGTGGCTTTCCACCGTTCTACTCGAACCACGGCCTTGCCATATCGCCGGGTATGAAGAAGGTAATTAGTGATCTAAGACATAGTATTATAAAAATCATAATACTATGTCTTAGATTAAGATGTCTTATATAATTATATTTCATTAAATATTATAAGAATCACTGGTGTAAAAATAAGTATGACGACTGGGTAAAAAAAATGCAATTCTATTTAGTCCGTCAGTCAGATAATAGAAAAATATTAGATACGTATTTTTTTTTACTTCAATTTAACAAGAAATAGCTTAGATAACAGGCATTAAAGTTGAGGAGTGGGGGCTCGCTACGTCACAGTTTAGTAGAAAACCTACCATAACGTAACGTCATGCGAAATTTCAACTCGATGTAACGCCGTAATTTTATGATTACGAAAAAAATAAAGAAATACGTTTTTAATATATTTCAACACTACCTGACGGACAAACAAACAAAAATTAGTCGTCATCCCTATTCGTTGTATCGTTTATATAGTCAATAAAGATTATTATTATTAAAAATGATTAAAGTATAAAATGAAGCCGCTTCCCGCTGTTTGTACGCCGAGATCTTTTGAACTATTATAATATAACGAATTTTAAAGCGGTTTTCGTCAATATACAGAGTGATTCAAGAAGAAAAGTTTTATGAATAGTATAATATAGAACCACGCGGGCGAAGCCGCTGGTGGAAAGTTACTATATTTTTCTGCATTCCTTGAATCATTATTTTTGGTACCACTTACGTAATACGAAATGTCAATATTCTTAGTTTAAAATGTACTTTAAAATCCACTTTGTCCTTTCGCAATCCGGGCTGCTCTAACCACTGAACTATCCAGGACCTAACAGGACTGACCAATTCCTCAAGTTACTTTTTCGCTACAACAGAGCGTTTGGGTGTAATTTACTTTTAAAGTTGCAATCGCTTTTGTAACAAAGTGATAGTTTTAATGATTAAGAGACATAATAAAAACTTGATAACTTGAAGTAATATTTACACCTAAACTAAGACATTTCTAACTAACGCCAAATTAGCGTTAATTATCGTTCTATATCTTTAAAAAAGTCACGATCGCTTCTCATTACTTGAGTAGCTCGGTGGCGTAGTGGATAAGCGCCACGGCCCGCGATCGTAGTCGTAAAGCAACTTTCGCAAGGGTCGGTCACGGGATGGGTGACCAAAAAAATATTATCTCGAGCTACTCAGTGCTTCGGAAAGCACGTTAAGCCGTTGGTCCCGGCTGCATTTGCAGTCGTCAATACCCTCCAATCCGCATTGGGCCAGCGTGGAGGGTCATGGCCCATCCTCCTTAACCATCCATAAGGAAGGCCTGAGCCCCTGCAGTGGGGACGTAAAAGGGCTGGTGGCTCTCATTTCAAATGGTTGTAGCGTGAAGTTCGTGATATCTTTCAAATGTCAAATCGAAAGAGCCTACAAGTTACTTTTAGAATAATGGAGCCTTAAACGTGAAAGTTTAAATATTAACGTAATATATACACTAATTTGAACCTTACGTGTATTGTTTTAGCGTATAAGATTAGGTCAGTATGACTTCCCAGAGCCGGAATGGTCGAATGTCTCGTCAGAAGCGAAGAATCTTATCAGAGGCATGCTGTCTGTGGATCCAGCGAAACGACTCACTATTCATCAAGTGAGTTAAATCATTTTAGACTTTATTCACTTAATTTAATGTTCATATTTGCTATTAGCAGTTGTTCCAGCTTGGTAATGTATTCTTTTTTGTTTTTAACTTTTTCATTATATTTTTACACTACTGCCAAAAAGAGGAGTGTATTTGATTTAGCTTAAGTTCACAAATAAAAATGTGCAAATGGACTTAATGCCATGAGGCATTTACTCCGGTCAATCGGAGTGTAGTCGAGAGCTTTTAAAGTGTGTGTTTAGGGCTAATTTATTACGTATTATGAAAGCCTTAACGGATATGAATGTATAGGGTATTACTACAAACGTTACATGTTCCCGAGTGACACTATCTATGTTTATTTTTTAAAATATTCAACATGGAGGATATATGCATTGTATGGACGGTATAGAGTTTCAAACCAGAAAGTCTACTCTTTCATCTATTTTCGAAACGCTAATACGACTCCCAAAGAAAGCCATTTTGCGATCATTTATAAACACAACGTAGGTAGGACCTGATACTGCCTGTGATGCACCAAATAATCTTCACGGGTTCACTTCACAATCCTCATGAGTTTCCTAATTTTTATTGGTGAAACACAAAATAGCTCAAGTGTTATATTAATCTGACTTGTAACGTCAATAGTACGTCAGGTTATAATAATCTGTCAATTTTCTTGACGTCTGATACCTTAATGTTTTAAGGGTAGAGTCTAAAATCAACTGGATGAATGTGACATATTGTGGTAACATGATGCACGGCCGTGTGTAGCTGCATTTGTAATAAAAAATTGTTTGTTGTCAGGTAATGTCCAGTCCGTGGGTGAGACAGTACACGCAGGTACCACAAACGCCCCTCTACACTCACACTTTGTTGAGGGAGGGGGGGGACACGTGGGCCGAGGTTCAGGACGAGATGACACGCTCGCTTGCCACCATGCGAGTAGATTACGATCAGGTGAGTTATCAATAGTGTATTCTACTCTGAAAAGTGTACTTGTAAGTGTTTATTTTAATTTAAATAGACCACAAAAAAAGAATATTTCTTGTAAGCTTTCTCGCTTTAAAATTAGATCAAAATTTAAACATTATTGTATTTTAAAACAGCGTTAACATTATTGCGGTAGCGTAACATTATAATACAACCACAAAGAAATCAAATATATTTATTTCCCTATCAGAACCTGCAGTATACCTCTTGTTAGAACGAGATAAACATAATTCCATAGAATACGATTCACGAAAAAGTAAGTACAGTAAAACAAGTAAAACAGTAAATACAGTACTTACACATATATTTTATGCTTTTCTCATTGTCAATGTGTAATTTGTGAATTGTTCAAACACACAGGAAAAAAAAACTTCACAGTCAATTAGAGTGAAAATGACTTAGCCACAACGCTTGCTGATACGTGACCAAAGTGAAACTCGGACAAACGGTCTTGATTTTTGTTGTCATTGTCGTGGGCAGATAACTCAACTAAACTTTTCAATACATCATTGTAGCTTTATGATCAGAGATCGGAATTAGGTAGAGTTATTTATGTACTTGCATCGAAATGTTGATATTAATGTGGACCTTTCCGGGATTTCTAATGGACAATCTTTGGACATCCGATGTCATTGATGTAAGTTTGGCAACGTCGTGCGTGCAGTAGTTTCAATTGTGTAAAAGTAAATAACTGTTTATTTAAAAATCACGGGATTTTTTTCTGCTTTTTAAAATTAATCTCGGGATTTGAGGCATATCCACTTTATTCTTTCGCTGTATGAAATCAGTGTAAGTACATGAATAACTCTACCTAATTCCGACCACTGTTTATGATTAATGTCACAGATATTTTTTTGTGATAAAGAGACAAAAGTTTACTTTTAATTTTAGATTATCATGCAATTTTATGACTGAAAATCAGCATAATGTTTATTTCAGTGTAAATATTGGTTTTTCGATAAATTTACATCTTATTTTCACTAGCGAAACTTCCCTATTTTTGGTCATCCATCCTTTGGCCGGCCACTGCCATAGTTGCTCTATTTCCGCATTGCAAACCGATTGCGTTAAATATTGCGCGAAATTTTCTCTCTATTAAGAGTTGACTAGGAACGAAATAACTACAATATACATATTGTTTTGTCTTCTTAATAAAAAAATACTTAAAAAATCTACCAGCCCCAGGCATTTCAAGTCTTAGTAGTTAGAGCAGTCGCCCATATTGCGTATGGTAATGGGTTCGAGCCCCATCTCATAGTACTTGAGGCTGATTAAGTATATTTTCCAGTAAATGCAAAAATTGATCAAATATTTAAATATATATTTTCTTTGTTTCAGGTACAGATTAAAGCTTTAGAACAGAGCAATAATTCTTTATTAAACAAACGCAGAAACAAAGTGGGCGCTTGAAGAGACAAACAAAAATATACTTAAAAATGTTAACTCTTAAGGTCGATTATATTAATCAAGGCATTTTGGTTAGGCACGTATGAGTATAGAGACATTGTTTGTCCCTGTCGTGTTAGTGAGGTGTAAAAGAGACTGTATGTATTTTGAAAACGAAATTATATATGCATATGATTGCTATTTATCTGACGCGTTATATTTTTTTATAGCCAAAATTTGTGCTTTTTTATGAATGTGGAATATTGTTTTCTCTCATATTTTTATGTTTTGAATTAATATGCATGTATAAAACAAATATATACCTCCACATATTTACAAGGTTAGTAGTCATCGCAAATAATTTTCAACTTATTTTGATAGAAAGAAATTTCTCAATATACAAGTAGCTCCATCTAGTGACTAAAGTCTTATCTACTACCCCTATTTTTCATAGTGCTGATCTTGATTAGGAAATCAACAACGTTTGATTTACAAGAAACTGAATATATTATGAAATAGTTATCGTCTGTTCATTTTTTCATTTATATAACGTTTCAATAATTTAAAAAAAAATGGTTCTCTTTAGCAAAAATATGAATATGAAATTAATGTTTCTGGTGTCTTACTATTCTTAAATAGTGAAATGTATTATTTTATTACACATAACACTAATAATTAGTATTCTTTTCATCTATTTTAGGTGTATTTAAATTACGATAAAACCATCACATTATTTCATATAATAAATTATTTATGACGCTCATTAGACTAATGTATTATCCTAGGAAATCTTATGTCTATGTATCAACTAAATTCTTTTCTTGTTATTTTTTTTCTATAGCTATAACAAAATGTTTAAGTAGTTAAAAATGAAGTTTATCGAAAAATAAGAAAGATATACTAATGCTCACATTGCAAAAAGGTTAGTTTTCATTTAAAAATATATATATGACGAAGGGATTATTATATACATTATGCCAATCGCTAAGTTAGTGTAATGCCACTTGTCAATTATGATATTTATAGCACAAAAATACACTTTTTATAAAACACAATTTTATCTAATTAATACGAGCTAAACTTATATTTCAATAGAGATAGATGATTTTCAACACAGTGAATTTTTCTTAAAATTCTATAGTATTTTTCAAAATTACTATCTAAATAGTAAATATTATTGTTTTTGAAAGGCGAATTCTATCTGTGCAATTTGTAAAAATAAATATTTATAAAAAATTTACTATGCGAAAGTACCTGGTCCAGGTCTTTTATAATATATGATTAAAAATTGTATGATGAATATTGAATATATACGACGTGAAAAATTTATCCCATTTGATTTTTTATAGTAACTTATTAATGAACGAGCGAGACAGACCTAAGAGGAATAACATCTTTCTCTATAAAAAGGTTAATCTCAAATCCTAGAACGATAAAAATAAATTGAAGAATTATATATCGCTCGAAAATTCTATTTATTAATATCTTGTATGATATATTCTATGGCTATTTGAAAAATTCATTTCGAAATGATCACTGGCTCTACAATGAGCAAGTATATAATGATTCGAACCCATAAATTTTTGATATATTTTGTTGTTATATCTATTTGAGAGCCTGTTAAATAGCAAATAAATTTCAATGTTCATTACGAAAAAATAGTTTACTTATAGTTTTTTTCATTAAGTCTATCTCACTCTCACTTGTTAAATATGACCAAGACAGATGTTTGAAGCATATTTTAAGTGAGAATGCATTGTTTTGCCGTCCATTTTTTATAGAAATGGTGAAAAAAGTATATGTATTTTCGTAATAATTATTGTAGTACACCGCTTTGGTATGAAATTAACCTTATGTAGGATGGCTTAGAGTCCATTTTTGTATGACTTGTTATGTAAACAATTTTTACGCATCTTGCTAAGGAAAATTTTTGTTAATGAATAAGTAATTATGAAATTAATCGCTTATATTTTTATACTTCAGTATTTTCAAAAAAAAAACGTAAATTAATTGTTTACTTAATGAGATTAGTACTTCAGAGGGCTTTAAGATTCTATAATTATGTCACAAAATAGAAATATGTGCTTTAATTCTGTAACTAATTATTCTTGAATTAGGATTTGACATATAATACTTATAGACTGTTATTTTTGCTTTGTATAAAATATTTTAGATTTCCATTTTTAAATAATATACGAAATCAATATAAATTTACAAACGTGGAAATAACAAAAAAAAATCCAACGTAGATTTGGACCTAATTCTAGTATTGATAAAGTTCAATATTCTTTACGTGATTTGTGTATAGTTTAGGTGTTTACTTTCGAAGTTGCCGGTGTTTTGTTTTTTCATAACTTCTACAAAATAACTTTTTTCTCATTTTTCTAACTGTATATGCACATATTTGATGTAAAAGTAGTAAGCAGATTTCTCTAAACGTGTATAAAAAATAGATCGGAAAATCTTTATAATAATGGCAATTTCTTGAGTAAATATCTAACGTCTAAAAGTTGCTATAGAGAATTCATCTAATTCTGGACATCACATTTGACATTACAATATTATAATTATTAAATAAAGTGAAATATAATTATTATAATTCGTTAGAAAACTTTTAGTACTTATTTTTGTTAATGAGTATTTTCGTAGTTACATTATTTGTAATTCGTGTAATACTGAGGTATTATGTAGTAAACATAAGGTTGCATTTCGCATAACATTTGCCAAATCTAATTTTAGTTTGTGGTCAATGTTTTCTCGGATGGTTTGATGTAAATTAGTCTATTTGTAGTATGGATTAAGTTGAGTGAAGTTAATGGTAATGAGTAATAAAAAAAATGACAAACTCCTATTTCTTGTTTTATTTCGTAATGGAAATCTGAATTGAATGTACACAATCACTGGCAGCTAAGGGGGGGGGTGGAGGGGGTGGTCCGCCCCGTGCCTCCGGTCCAAATGTGCCGCCGCCTTTAAGTTAATAGTGTATGTATGTATATCAAGTTTCTACCCTGGTAGGGAAAAGTTTTGGTACCAGACCTATTGACGCCCCGGGCCTCCGATGAAGTTAGTCCACCACTGACCACAACGCCTCATCAGACTACTTGATGTCCTAATACAGATAAACTGGTTTACTTTGATTTCACCACCAGGAATGTTGCTATCTCTTCTGATAGAAATGGACAAGCGTTACACATTTGACTTTTTTCATAGTTACTCCAATTATAAGTTTCGTCACGTTATAACAGTATTACGTCACAATTAGGCTAGAATATACAATTGAAATAGGGCGCTAAAATATTTTGTCATTTATTCTATCTCATGGTACCTTAGTACGCCATAATGGTACTCGATTATCTCTATAAATATTTACTTTAGCAAAAATTATCACCCTTATGTACAGTCAACAGCACGTCAGGCTATACAAAACTGTCGACTTTCTCAAGTTGTAAGAGAGTACTAAATCAATTGATAAATTTTCACATATTGTGTTAACCATACATGTAGCCGTGTGTGCTATACCTACTTATAAATAGGGGATTAAATGATCTTAACGCTACTGACTACCGTTAGACCAGCATTGCCAGAGTCGTTTATCTCCGAAATTATGTCCATATTACTAACCTTTTTTTACAATAAAAGTCAACAGGGAATTTAATATATAAGTAAAATAAATGAAAACTTTAATTTAAAAAAAAATATGAAGTCAAAATAATCAAATCAAATAAACTTATGAAAAAATGAATTCTTCTTCCTTAATTTCTGTTCAATGACCCTAACAAGCATTTTCAGAAGGTAATATTCAACTAAAATAACCTTTAATCGAGTATGATTAACAAAAAGAAATATTTATTTAAAAAAAGTACTTTATTTCCCTTACAAACTAATAGCATGTGTCATTTTAAATATGCTTAAGGTTAATCTAAAAAATAACAGTTGTATAAATGTTGAATTATATCCATTGAAATACCCGCGATTCGCATAAAACTTAACTACTATATTGTAAAATTTTCATAAAATACGGTTTATATCTTAATTATCTTAACACCCATTATATGCTAAACGTATCTATACAAATTTTATAATTAAAAAAATAGAATCAGTCACATATTTTGTAATTTTTTTTAATTAAACCAATTTTCAATACAAGGAATGCAACTACTGAAATACGTACAAATTAAATCAAATATATTGTTTTGTAAAAAAAAAACTTTGAACTGATATTCTACTAAAAAAAGTCACATGAGGGTATTTAACTTTGATTATAAATTTGATCTCTATTACTTGGCTCTTAAAGTTTGTTATTACAAACACGTGTATAATATGTAGATGCCGGGCACTGCCCACGCACTTTTCATCATAGTGAGTCCCATGAGGCAGGCAGCGAAGTACCAGAGTAGTAAGATAATACCTGCTTGCCAAATCATATGGAAGATGAATAATCTGAAAGAAAAAATAAAAGCGTAAAGTGATTATCGACTAATCTGTACTAAAAAAAGGTAGTTTCTTGCTTTATTTGATTATAAGGAGTATGAGTTTTTTTTTTCTCTCAGTTTATAATGTATTGATCTGGTAATGACATGGTTTTTGTAAATGTCATTACTCCTATTAGAGCTGGTGAGTTTCTTGCTCGTTCTTCTTATTAGCCAAAATACGCACTGAACGAGTGGTAGGGGAAAAAAATGTTGGACGATTCAAAAGTACTTTTAAGAAGTCTATTTGAATAAAGATTATTTTGACTTTCATTTTTTTGTCTATGGTATTCTTCAAAAATATTGGACGAGAAGCTACATCACACGAAGGTTACAGGCTACTAATTAGGCGGACGACGTCGCGGGAAAACTGATTGTCTTATATATTTATCTTGCACATCTGCAGGCGTATTCGATAACTTAACTGACAAATTTATGAAAATCACTAATATGTATTTTTTACCAATAATAATAATAATAATAATAATATATTTAACAACATCACATACATTGCTCAGATTCCAAGATGAGTAGCTAAAGCCCCCGTATTATGGAGTATCTGAGACAACTGAACTCCGTGTGGACATTTGATGTTGTATCGATAAACTGTTATTTCGTATTCAGTAAGCATTAGTACCATAAGGTGAACCTCAAATAAATTAAAATAAAATAAGATTTCATCTATATTAAAATATATAAACACAGCAACTGGCAAGGGATTACGGATTTCATAAAATGAATGAATAATTCTCTACTGTAATAATAATAGAAAACAGTAACACAAAGAACAAATAGTACAACGACCCCCCCTCCCCTAACGTGTGACGTAATTTATGGATAATGGCGTTATTTATAAGCCCGACAGCCCGCAATCGTTGTTGTTAAGCAATTTCCGCAAGGGTCAGTCACGGGATGGGTGACAAAAAAATATCTCTAGCTACTCCGTGCTTTGGTAGGCAAGTTAAGCCGTTAGTCATGGCTGCATTTGCAGTCGTTAATATCCTCCAATCCGCACTGGGCCAGCGTGGAGGGTCACGGCCCATTCCCCTTAACCATCCAAGGAAGGCCTGCAATGGGGACGTTAAAAGGCTGATCGTGATAGTTCAATACTTACTTGGTCTGCTTCTTCCTAGCGGCCGCTAGAGTAGATTCCTTCTCGTTGTTCAGGTATCTTCTGACACCTTTTTGAAGATTCGTAAAGAAATCTTCCCACTGCAACAAGCAATAATGAACTTAAAACAAATTGATACAAAGTCCTGTTTTAAAAATCAACATAATTACTGCGTAATTTTTTTATATTCCAACGTTACCCAAGAATCGGGAAGAGTTGGTTAAATCGCTTAAAATATATTTACTCAATGTTGCTGTTGTGTTACCGAGTTAAAATTTCCTGTTATTTTCTATCATAGTGGGCGAATTTTGTTTAATTTGGTTGAAAAACCTTACCATTAATGTTACTGTATATTTTTACATATACAAAATGTCTAACTCGATACTTGTTTGTTATAAAACAATCTGAAAAGCTTGACAGAGTGTTGGGATGTTATCTCAAAAAAAAACGGCTTTGATACTTGATGAGTACTATAAAAATCAATAAGAGAAAAACGTCATTTAATCATATCTTACTAGTAGTAACGCGGCTTCCGGGGCACCGAAAAGCTCGAGATAATAAATTTTTATCACCCATCCCATGATTGGCACTTGCGAAAATCGCTTAACTTTAACCACTGCGCCATTAAGCTCATGCAGGCGACATAATCTATAATGTACGCGGGTAACGTAGGCTATAATTTACGCAGGTGACATAGACTAAAATTTACGCGGGTGACATAGACTAAAATTTACGCGGGTGACATAGACTAAAATTTACGCGGATGACATAACCTATAATTTACGCGGCGGAATATGGTAATGTCAAATAATATCACTTACGTCCAAAGTGGAAATATCAATATAAAACAATTCACTGTCCGTTTTGTTCAGTTTTTTGCATAGATCTAGAGTGTTTGGATTGTGGAACAACCACTCGGAGAATATGAACTTCTCTAGACGGTTCAACGAATTCCATACGTTACGATTCAAACGCCATAATCTGAAAATAAAAATTATATTATTAAATATCATAAAAAAAATACTACTTTCCCTAAATCATTACCGCTAAATAGAATTATACATTGACTTTTAATTAGTTGAAAAAAAAAACGAATATTTTATGCTCGTTGTCACGTGACCGCAAATAGTGCGTGACGTCACGCCCTTAGAGAATTCAACCTTATGAATAACAAAACGACATTCATTTCAGAGTGCCGTGACGTCATAGCGACGCCATGACAGAAGTGGCGTTTTCGCGGGGAAATTCGATTTTTTTTAGATTTTAAGTTATTATATGAATTATATATTTATTTATTTATTTAATCTTTATTGCCATATTAATGCAAAAGGCGGACTTAATGCCATAGGCATTCTCTACCAGTCAACCGGAGAGGATAAGCAGAAAATTTGTAAGGCAGTGACTGTGATAGAGAATTCTGAATATAATTAACAATCATACACATATACATACATATATATATTAAGACAATACCCTACATACAAACACACAAATACATATATACATAAATAAATATATACATATACAGTAAAATAAACATCGACGTGACAGATTGTAAAGTCAGGAAAAGTTGTTATCTTTTAGATAGTGTTCACGCGCTTTTCTCTTGAAAACTAATCTATTCGGAGCATTTCGTACGTCCAGAGGTAGTGCATTCCACAGCCGTATAGCAGTAAGAGAAAAAGATTTGGAAACAAATATAGAATGATGAGAAGGAGTCTGGAGTACCAGATTAGAACTGGAGCGAAGTTGTTTTTGATGAGAGGCACCCAAGTACTGAAACCTGGATTTCAGATATTCAGGCGCGCGTGGATCGTATAGAATTGCAAAAAGAGTGTTTACGATTCTTAATTTCCTACGTTCGCGTATTGGCAACCATTTAAGGTGGTTACGAAAATCAGAGATGTGGTCGTATTTACGTAGACCGAAAACGAAGCGGATAGTGTTATTAAGAAGACGATCCAACTTATCGAGAAATATTTGATTAATGTTAGAGAGACAAACATCTGCATAATCAAAAAGGGGATGAACAAGTGCCTGCACGAGGGCAGTCTTCGTACTGGGCGGGAGAAAATTCTTAAGTCGGTATAATGCGCCAAGAGTCCCATGAACACGACGAGAGACATTCGCCATATGGCCTTCCCAGGAGAGGGTACGGTCCAAGACAAGCCCCAGGCTTCTTACAGTGGAAGTGTAGGGGATCACCACACCATTATATGATACAGACGGAACGGCGCTCAGATTCAACCGGGAAATTAGACTTGGGCTTCCTATGATGATGGCCTGACATTTGTTAGGGTTAACTGTTATGCCAAAGCTCTGTGACCATTCGCATATTCGCTTGAGGTTTTGATTCAACTGTATAATAGCTCTATCCAAGTAATCAATCTTGTCTTGTGCATACAGCTGCAGGTCGTCAGCATACAGATGATAAGAGGTCGAAAGAATAGGTGTAAGTGAGTTAATAAATATAGAGAAAAGGAGTGGAGAGAGAACGCCGCCTTGTGGTACACCAGCAAACAGGTCAGTCCAATCGGAAACCGATTGATTGACCCTTACGGCTTGCCGGCGCCCCCGAAGATAGGAAGAGAACCAGGCAAGTACAGGGGATGAGCACCCTAGCTGGGAGAGAAGAGCAAGTAGGATATCATAGTCAACTGTATTAAATGCGTTTGAAAAGTCCAGTAGTACTAAAACAGTTAGACAAGATTCCTCCATGCCATCCCGTATATCCTCTACAATTTTTAAAAGCGCAGTAGTGGTACTATGCCCAGGCCGGAAACCCGATTGAAAAGGAGAAAGCAATTGGTTGCCGAAAAGGAATGAAGAAAATTGCTGATGAACAACAGCCTCAAGTATCTTGGAAAGGAAAGGTAAAATAGAAATTGGTCTAAAATGCTGCAAGGAACTGGGGTTGGGAACTTTGGGTAGAGGGATAGTGAACGCGCTAAGCCAAACGTCAGGAAATGAACCGGAAGATAAAGAAAAATTTAGTATAAAAGTGAGTACCGGAAGTAAAGGATCTAATAATAAAGTGATCATGTTTCTACTAACATGATCGTACCCAGTAGCTTTGGACTTGATGGAAAGAGCTATCTTTCGAATATCTGCTTCTGATACAGGATCGAAGGAGAAAAGACTGCCAGAGGACACAGCCGTGGAAGTGAGTCTAGAAATAGTAAGAAATTTGATATTGTCAGAAAGATTTTTAGTAGAAGAGAAATGGCGATTGAGATCATCAAGACCGAGAGAGAATGAATGTTGGGCTCGCACCTTACCGAACCCTAAAGAATTAAGAAACTTCCACATTTCGGCTGGAGTTGAATTAATCACATTCTGATTGATGTAACGGCGCTTAGCTTCTCTTATCATCTGGTTGCATCTGTTCCTGGCATGTTTGTAGGTTTCCCAGTTAGAGTCAGTACGACACCTTCTGTACACACGAAATGCTTTGTTTCGTCTTTTCATAGAGACACGTACAAGAGGAGTTATCCACGGTGCGGGTGGTCGTCTTAATTTAACATATTTAACGGGTGCATGTACATCATATAATTTCAAAATTATTGTGTTGAACTTTACTACCATATCTGTTACCGAACATGCATTGTAAACGGGAGACCAATCCAGAGTAGTCGCATCCTGATACAGTTTCTCCACATTCAGTCTTGAAAAATTTCGAATGCGTACGATTTGTGGCTTAGGTTTAGGTGGTTTAGTTTTATAGGCTAAAAAAATTAAATCATGTTTGGAGAAGCCAGGTGCTGGTAATTGACCATGTTTGAGAACATGATCAGGAGAAGATGTGATCATTTGATCGATCCATGAGTCATCTGTAGTGAGATTGTGATGCGTGGGACTCAAAGGTAAAATTGTGAAATTTACAGACTCAATAATTGATCGATAATTACGTGAGGAGTGGGTATCTTTTAAAAGATCTGTATTAAAGTCGCCCATGATTATGTGATGTCTGTAATCCGTAGTGACTGACTCAAGAAGAGATTCCAAGTCGGAGAAATAGGGTATAGATGGAGGACAGTAAATGACACCTAGAAGCACTTTAACACCTTTGACGACGATTTCAAGAACTAAATACTCCATACAGCCGTTTCGAGATGAAGATGAAGCAACCACTTTATAAGGAATGGTATTAGTTAGATAAATGGCCACCCCGCCACCACCCTTGCCTAGACGGTCATTGCGGATGAGTACAAAACCAGGGAGTTCAACGGCTGCTGAATTCAATCCGGGCTTGAGCCAACTTTCAGAAACCAGAATTGCCTGCGCAGCATTAGTGGAAAATGTACTCAGAAGATCTGTGTAGTGAGACGGTATACTTTGTGCGTTGATGTGGCAGACACTCAGATATTCCGAAAAAGAGCCTAATTCTTGTTTAAGACGAGTGCCCAAATCATCTTCATCCAATGAGGAAGCGTCTAAAGAATGGTAAGACGAGTTTGAATCATCTGCAGAACTGTATACGCTAAGATCCGACATATTATAATATAATAATATAAGCGCTAATAATAATATAAAACACAGAATATATATATATAAATATAGCTGAAATTAATCAGCAAAATAAAAATAAAAAATTAAGCAAAAAAACTTTTACGAGTTTTATGCCTGCACTCCTTGCCGGTTAAAAGGTTTACATTTAAACCGCTGATTTCAAAATAATGACAAAAATAAATAACAATAGCAAATAACAAGAAATCATAAGTTGCACAAAACAAAATTAAATCATGGCTGCAAGAACATAGATTCATTTGCTTTAATATTAATAACAACATCGACAAAAATAATGAGAATGACTTTGACATGTGAAAGTAAACAAAATAATGAGAGAATGAATTGAAAAGAGCAAAACGTTACTTAAACAACGTATATCTTATAATATATCTTTTAGATATACTTCATGTATATCTATAAAACAAAACTATAAAAAAAAAGAATTGTCTACACCCCTATTATGATTCGTTCACGTTTCTTCGATTACTTTTTATTTTATCCCATACTTGGAAAATATAGCGACAGTTAAAAACATAAGAACATTTTCAAAATAAAGTTTTGACTGTTTGAAATAATTTAGGTATTTATAGCAGACCTCTAACTTTTAACTCAATGATGGTCAGATGCACAAACGTCCATTAAGGTTTAATGACGCCTTTGAGCTCTAATGAAGTCAAATTTGTATGCGTAATGATGCTTTAGACTAATGACAATTTTAATGGACATTTATGCAACTGGCTGTGAGTCATGTCACAAAACGAATTAATGTATTATATATATATTAACATCGATATTTATATTCTTTTTTTTTGATGAATTGAGCTGTCAGTTTAGTCATATAAAATTAAAGTCTAGTATATAATATATCGGCAATAATTCAAATTGTATATTAAAAGGTATCGAAAGGTACTTACATGGGTCGACCTCCAGTTAACTTCAGTAGTAAATCCAATAAAATTGCTGGGAAGAAATGTATAAATATGGCCGACAGACGAAAACTCAATAGGGACGAATTAAATGCAAGATATGGATACCTGGAAAAATTACTAGAAAATTAATAAGGCAATCTTAGGTATTTTAATAGGGTTTTTTACTCTATTTGGAATAATAATTGTAACGGTTATATTTAAAAAAGCTATTAAACAAATCTTTTTAATAAATAAACACGTTTTTTTGTTTTAAAATTAAATCAAGATTTGAATTTTTTACACTCGCGAAAACGCATAGAGTAGAAGATTAAACTAACGTCTTTTAATCTTCTACTCTATGCATCAGTTAATAAAACAAGAACAGCGTAATTTAACGATCGATTAACGAAATATAAAGAAGTATTAAAAAAAAACGAAAGCACTAAAAAGCACCTCTACTAGATGGCGACTCTAGCAAAAGTTGATTTTTGCAGGAAACGAATGGACCAAAGACAGTAATTTCCGTTACTTTTAACTGACATATTAAAAAACTGAAATTTGAAAAGTTAGAAACTTAGATATCCATACAAATATGAAAAAGTACAACTAGATTATGAGTTGTTTATTGGGTTTTGAAAACTAATTTACTTTTAAACTTGAAAGTAAACCGGAAAGGTTGTCATGGAGAAATCAAGAACGTACGGTAGCGACATCTATTTTAATTTCGGGAACAATGATTTTTTTAATATTTACTCATTCTTTATGACTAATCTGACAGTTTCCGCCATAGTGACGTCACACGTGACGTTTGTTTCAAGTTAAGTGACACACAGACAAAAAAAATCACGACTTTTTTTTTAAGATATCATTATAATCGTGCGATTTAAGACTAAAAATCAGAATTTCTGTTTATAGCGATGTAAATTTTAGTTTTGTGCAATTTCGTGGCTTATTTTACATTACTGACACCTAGAAAACCCTGTTTTTATAGTTAATTTTTTATAGTTAATTTTTATAGTTAATTTTATGATAATAGTAAATTTATTTTTATAATAAAACAGGAACAGCAAACGGATAAAAAATTAAATGACTTTTTCACAAAAAAAATCCTTTTGTTAACCCACAAATGACGTCACATCTCCCCAATAGCCGTTTACGCGGTTGCTTGAAACAGTAATTAATATGCATAATTTTTTGTTATTTTAAAACTACTTTTTTGTGAGAATAAGCATTCATATGGACTAATTTGAATCATATTAAAGCAATTTTTGGCATCTACATACTATAAAACAAAGCCACTTCCCGTTATCTGTACGCTGGGATCTTATAAACTACACAAAAGATTTTAATGCGGTTTCCGCTTATACGTATATGTATAATCACCAGTGGTCGGAATTAGGTAGAGTTATTCATGTACTTACACTGATTTCATACAGCGAAAGAATAAAGTGGATATTCCTCAAATCCCGAGATTAATTTTAAAGAGCAGAAAAAATCCCGTGATTTTTTAAATAAAAAGTTATCTACTTTTACACAATTAAAACGACTGCACGCACGACGTTGCCAAACTTACATCAATGAAAGAAAGAAATAAAGAAAGAAGAAATAAAGAAAGAAGAAATAAAGAAATCCCGGGAAGGTCCACATTAATATCAACATTTCGATGCAAGTACATAAAATAACTCTACCTAATTCCGACCTCTGATAATCACAGGGGCGAAGCCGCTGGCGGAAAGCTAGTTTATAATATTCTTGAGCATAAAAACGTTTTAAAAACTGTACCGACACAATGTTTGAACTAATAAAGGTGTGATTTAAATATTACTCACCATACTGCACTCTTCAATGGATACATATGTAACTTTTTATTGATAGTATGCTCTAAACTGGACCAACGGAACGGTCTACAAGTGGACGAGGAACAGTGATATACGGTCAAGCCAGACCTGAAACAGAAAAACATTATTATTGTATATGTCACACTGCATTCTAGAAAAGGAAAAGAAAACAAAGGTATGGCTGTGTGGACATAGATTCTTTTGTTTATAAATAATTGGCTACTTGACTGTTTTGGGAAAAGTATTTTACTCATTATATTTAATTGACCCGCGAAAACAATCAGACACGTCCCACGTGACATTTCCAGCTGTGACGTCACAATTCAATAAACATGAGTACTGTTTGCACTAGCAACAAAGCATTGACGTTTAGTTTGAAATGTGACGTCATAAGATATTCCGATATGACCGCCCGCGTTGCGGTTCTTGTAAATCGCAATATATTTAATAAAAACTAAAATATTTTTTAAAACAAAAAAGAATACATAGTTATATTTAACATATAAGTTAGGGCCATCCGTTGATCGCGTGACGGTCCTATGGGGCGGGAGGGGGTTCGTCAAAAATCGCGAAACATCACAATGGGGGTGTAGTAATATATCACGTGTATTTATTTTTTCCTCAAACTGAGCCGAAAAGCGTCAAATTAAGGTTTTTTGTAGGTGCTAAAAAATACACGTGATGTGGGTGGAGGTAGGGTAGACTTAAACCTCACCATGTATCACCAAAGGGGAGAGGTTAAAAAATGTAAAGAAAAATATCACGTGATTAATGGACGGCCCCTTACCAGTTCCAACATATTTTATAATTTATCGTTACATCTGTCGAGTAGCCAATCAAAGTTCAATATTGAATGGACCACAATTCAAGTATGGTGTTTGTTTTTTAGTTGTATATTTATTATTTACTATCGACGTGAAGAAATACACCTTCAAGAATGACTTACTTAGATTTAGCGGTATGCCATCCAGCGACCAGTAGTTCGTTCACAACCACATCCACTGGAATATAGTCGGCAATGTTATCCTTTGAAAGCGGCAATCTTCTGACCACGCCTGCCAAGTGCCAACCAATAAATACCAGATAATATTAAAATTGTCTTCGTACAGAAAAAAAACAGGGGTCAAATTGACCAATTTTATAATCTAACGCAATCTTTTTCAATTTGACATTTGAAAGAAAATCACGAACTCCACACTGCAACTATTAGAAATGTAATAGCGATTGCGCTCGCGACGTTCTTTGAAAGACATACGGCATTGATAATTGAACATTAATTGGAATAGGGATGATGACTGGGTAAAAAAAATGCAATTCTATTTAGTCCGTCAGTCAGATAATAGAAAAATATTAGATACGTATTTTTTTTTACTTCAATTTAACAAGAAATAGCTTAGATAACAGGCATTAAAGTTGAGGAGTGGGGGTTCGCTACGTCACAGTTGAGTAGAAAACGTACCCTAACGTGACGTCATGCGAAATTTCAACTCAATGTAACGCCGTAATTTTATGATTACGAAAAAAATAAAAAAATACGTGTTTAATATTTTTTAACACTCTACCTGACGGACAAACAAATAAAAATTTGTAATCATCCCTGTTGTCTTAGCTAAGCTAATGAGAAATGGCAAACAAAATGCAATCTTTCGACTTGTTTAGGCAAGATTTTATGTTACTTGATCATTCAAATCATCATTCGCATCAAAATCGATAACGACTTTAAAGGTAATATAATTATTACCTTTAAAGTCGTAATATCACAATCGCTATCCCTTTGAAAGATATTGTGATAAATTTTAAATAAGACAATTAGCGGACTGCAGCCGAATTCAGAACGTAATAGTCTAAGATCCGAACCTAAATCGACATTGTTATGAATTTAATTAATTTTTATTTTGCAAATCAAATGTCAGTTGCTCCAAAATAACGTGCACTGTTTACTATACGGAGGGGTACATATTTTACATTCCGAGCATGCGCACTTTCATATATTCAGGGTCCGATCAGATGCGACTGCAATGTTGGGTCCTTTACTATTACACGGTATACTTTCCTCGGATCTCTCTGTCACTCACTTTCCCACGCGTTAAAATTTTAATTTTTAAAATTCGCAAACCCGTATTAGGACCGAATTTTTTGCAGACAACCCTATATCAATGTGTTCGTAATGAAACGGCGCTTATGTTGATATAATTTTTTTTTTATTATCAAATCAAGTGAAATTAACTGGCATCGATATACCTGTTTATACCTGACAACCCAGTAGTTCGTCCAGGTAAATAATAGACAACCCAACGTCTGCACATTCTATATGTTTTATACTTTAAGTCAGAATTAAATTTTTCTTATTATCTTGATGTTGCAACATTTAATAAAAAAATTTTTTTTTTTAAATAATTAAAAATATTCTGTCCAGGATTTTTTTAGCGAACCCATTTTTAATATATTTTCTAATATACTAAATTAATTATATAATAAGTTTTATTCCATTATCAACCCGGTGAAGGTCGATTTAGGTTCGGATCTTAGACTATAATTAATTATTTAATTTCAAAATCTAAAGCCATAACTTTTTTTTTTGGTTTTTTTTTACTTTTAAAGATTATTGTAAAAGATATAGTCAAATTAACAATATTGTTCATTCAATATATTTCTAAAAAACGAACATCTTTAAAATGTCGAATTGAAAGGATTTGTGATTGATTTATTGAAAATGATTATAAATTAACTTACCTTTACTCGCACCCATAAGGAACCCTTGAGGACCAACTTTCGAACACGTCCAACCAGGAACCGGTTCCTTCCATGACCCCACAACTATAAGAAATATGACATTCTTTAGAGCTTAAAGGCGTTATTAAACCTTAATGGACGTTTGTGCAACTGACATACCATACCAAATAAGAATAGAATCAGATTAGCTGTCATGACACTGACAGGAAAGAAATTAAAGTATACTGAATTCAGATTCATTACACATATATTATTGGATTTATTAATTAGTATTGACGCGACTTTATCAAGAATAACAAAATATACGTATTTTCTAAATCTCTTGATCTTCCATTTTCACTTGTTTACAATTTTAAAGACAGCCTTGCTATGTTACGATTTCAAGTTCAATTACCAAATTACAAACTACAATAATGGGTTGATTAAAAAATATATATATATATATATTTTCGTTCCTTTTCTGCACACCTCACGGACCGAAAATAAAGCGCGAAGTGAACCATGTTTGTCATTTGACAGTACTATACTTATTTGGCTACCATAAAACAACCTGCCACTAGTCATGGTGTAAGAAAGTTTAAAAAAATTAATTTCACTCACTCATAGTAGGTCTGACTATAGTACAAGGGAACAAGTCAGAACATTTTTTTACTTCATGTTCGGCAAGATGTTTGGTGAATGTATACGTATTAGGATGATCCTTTAATACCCTGCAAATTAGAACTATAATAGAGTGGTGAATTGATTAAAAATTACATTACTAAGGCATACCATGTTTTTGTATTAATTGAAACTCATTATGGAAAATGAAAAAGGACAAAATTTGAAACTCACTTTGGTTCTATTTCATCTAAAGCCTCATCGGAGAGTGTACTGACTAAAGATATAATTTTTTCTGCATCCTCAGGAGCTTCATACACTTTTTCATGTGCTTCTGTTAAATATGAATTGACATAAGCTGAAGAAACATGGATCATCACCTGTAAATTAAATACAATATATTATTGTAGTTACAGCATTTTTTAACTACTTCTGTAATATTTTAACATTTCAATGACTCTTTGGATAATCCTAGACCAATCAGGATTGGCCGAGGATTAGACAGACCACTCCTGATTGGTCTCTTAATTGATCTGTCAGCCTAACAGATCACTCAGGGCTTCATTTCTTCTTACTTCAACTATCAACTGGCTAATGATAATAGGTCTAGGATTGAATAGATTATTCCTGATTGGTCTCCTGCAGTTGATCTGTAAACCTGACAGAAAATCAGGGCTTCACCTCTTTTCAACTGTCAACAGAACAATCAGAATGGGTTTAAACTGACAATGAGCTTATTCCAATAAGAGAAAGTACAATTAATTAATTAATTCACGAAATTAACAGAAAATTTCAAAATAAATACCTTTAAGTTTTTCATTTCTTTACACAGTTCCATAACTCTTCTAGTTCCCAGTAGATTGATTTTAATGGTTGGTCGCAAATTGTCTTGGAAATCAAGTGTGGCAGCAGAGTGTACGACTACATTCACATTTTCAAGAAGCGTTTTTTTGTCTTCTGGACTGAGACCGAGATTCTCTTCGCCAACATCGCCAGCAACAGGGACGAGTTTGTGGAATATGTCAATAGTTTTTTGTTCTATTAATTTTTCAAATACCTGTAAAAATATATGTAACAAGACAATTCCTACCTATATATATGTTACATTACGTTATATATGCAAAAGTAACTTTGACTATAATGCTTTCACAACTTAACTGTATATTTTGAATAATGCAGTATACTAAATAATTCTTATTATATATATATATTTTTTTGTTTACTCATATTTTCAAATCATTTTTATAAGCCTGCACATACACGGCATAATAATTTCCATTATAATATTTGCTAATTAATATATCAAAGTTAAAATATTTCAGAAACATGATTTATTAAAGATTTTACCAAATAGTCTGTTTCTATTTGTCAATTGATATCAGCATTCAATTTAATGAAAGAGACTATTTACATTAACTTAGTTTCTCATAGAAATTTGAAATTGTCTGAAAAACTTAACTTTTAGCCTGTTATTAGTAAAGTTCAATATTGACTTCAAAAAGTTTACCAGATGTTTAGGGAACTCGTCCAGTCTTTCCACAATATCTTTTCCTTTTTTCGGTCTCATAAGCAAGTAGAGTTTGCCGACGTCTGGGATTGTCCTCAATATCTTCTCTATTAGACATAATCCCACAAACCCCGTACTGCCAGTTATGAAGAAATTCTTGCCAGAGTAAAAAGCACGCACTTGCGATTCATCCGGCATATTGTTCAGTTATTATTCTCTGAAAATAGAGATAACTTAAAATTACTATTCGAAGATATACTTCGAAGTATACACAGATTAAGTATAGAAAGGAATACAGATGACATGACGTTGATAGTTGATTTTCAAAGTTTTTTTACATGAAGAGGTATTTAGTTCATACAGCCAAAATATTTTATTCCCTTAATAAACAAGTGGACTCAAAACTCCCACTATTTTCTTTTCACCACGAATGAACCTCTTTTCTGTGCTTTCTCTGTATATGATGTTGTATGTAATGAAAGTGGGCATTTAAGATTTACGATTATAGTAAAATTTTTAGTAAGTTATAAATGTTCATATCTAATATTAAAGGTGCCTTAAAAGAAGAACTAGTCGACTGGAAGGTTGTTAAATATGTAAATTGGCCTATGACATTGTCTGCCATATGCCCATAGCCAGTGCGGTTAATTAATTGGCTTATACTCTTATAAATTCCTTTTTATTCCAAGGTTTTCAGATTATGTAGCCTACATTTCAATCGTCCATCTTCCCATTATAATCACATTTAGGTTTATTAAAATCAATTGATAGTGATAGAATTTTATAATTTTAATCTCAATAATATTTCTAAAAATTCTGTTATAAGTTAAAAATTAAACATTTGATTAGAAGTCTGGTAATCACAGATGATGGATTATTCACTAGGAAATAATGAATCAGAATTATTGCAAAATCACTAATTTCTTGTTTACTAAGGGTATGTTCCGATTACACTGCGACCACTGAACAGTATGACGTCAATTTAGTATACTGGAAGCCCGTTCCTTTATAGCTAGTTATACTGGTGACTTTTTAAAACGGAACGCAGTCCAGTATACTGTTAATCCTATTTTTTGGCGCCATTTTCAAATTTGTTAATGCAAGGTGAATATAAATAAAGATTCCCTCTTTTCAAAAGAAAATATTATAAAATTGTGTATAAAAAAATTATTTATCAATTAAATCCATCTTATAATAAACGTAAGTATTTTTTTTTGTTTATTTAGAAACTTATCATTTTCTGATTCTGTTTCGACTGATCACGTGATCAAAAGCACTGCGAGCACCTTACCTCGAAATCTCCAGTGCTCACAGTACAAATATGGCGGCAATTTATGACGTCATAAATTTCCCTAGGGTACTGTAGCAGTGTACTGGCAGTCCATGGGTATGTTCCGATATACACTGCGACCACTGAACAGTATGACGTCAATTTAGTATACTGGAAGCCCGTTCCTTTATAGCTAGTTATACTGGTAACTTTTTAAAACGGAACGCAGTCCAGTATACTGTTAATCCTATTTTTGGCGCCATTTTCAAATTTGTTAATGCAAGGTGAATAGAGAATGCAATACCGGGATACCGGGATCCCGAAATAACGGGATCCCGCATGATTTTAGCGGGACCAGTCCCGCACGTAAATCGAGCGGGATCCCGCGGGATTAGCGGGACTGAACATCGACAAACGCCACGTCTTGTTTGGTGCGCGGAAGCGCGCGAACTGACTAAGCTAGAGAGAAGTTGCGGACGGGAACGAAGGGCGCGGGGGCGGAGCTTTCTTTTGAACGCCCGACCCGTGCGGCGCGGGGTTTGTTTACCTATTTTTTGTCAGTTGCATTTTGCAATCGTGACGTAACTTAATAACGTGTTAAGTTTTATTTGTTTTAGTGAATTAAACGGGACTATTGTATTTAATTATGTCGAACATTGTTTATAAAGACTTTGCCAGTGCAGGTATAGTGTGGAGACACTTTTTAAAGGCAGAAGATTCGCAGACTGCTAAATGCAAGATATGTAAATCAATCATAAAAACCACAGGGCGTTCAACTAAGGGCTTGCACGTTCATCTGAAATCTAAACATAAGATTGACACCAAAGCAAGTGAATCTGACAACTCTCTCGCTTCAGGCGATCCAGCTCGACCAGCTTCAGAGACATCGACGTCTAATTCCTCGGCACCGTCACTTTCTACACCAGATACACAAGATGATGCCCATGCCTACTCTTCTTCTTCAGCTTCGTCGGCAAAAAAACACAAAATTACTGATCATTTTCATAGAGAAAATAATACCGTAGAGCAGAAGGTGTCACGGATGGTTTCAAAGGATGGCCTACCGTTTAGTGTTTTCTGCACGTCCTCAGACTTGCGAGATCTCTTTATAGCAGGCGGCTATAAATTACCTTCATCTCCAAACTCGATAAAACTGATGGTAATGAATTTTGGTATGACTCTGAAAATGAAAGTTATTCAAGACTTATCGAAGTTGAAAGAAACCGGTCATCGTTTTACTCTCACCTTCGACGAATGGACTTCCTCGAGGAATAGGCGCTTCCTAAATGTAAATATACACGCATTTGATGGTAAGCCTATTTTTTGGAACTTGGGCCTGGTGCGTATTTTTGGAAGCTTGCCAGCACAATCCTGTGTAACGATTTTAACAGAAAAACTTTCAGAGTATGATGTATCACTTGATAAAGATGTCGTCAATATTACCACAGACGGTGCCAAGGTCATGGTAAAAGTTGGCCGTCTCATTAAGCCCGATCAACAACTTTGTTATGCTCATGGAGTTCAACTTGCTGTAATTGATGTCGTTTACAATAAACCAGATTCATCTGAAACATCACAAGACGAAATAAATGTACAAAACGAGGTAAGGTTGGATGAATCTAGGGTAGAGAGTGATTTATTAGACATAGACTCTGATGATGATGATGAAGTTAAGGACAGCGGCTTTCATCTAGTTCTTCCCACAAGAGAAGTAGATTTGTCTTTAGAATACTCAAGTGTAATACAAAAAATTCGAAAAGTGGTCAAACTTTTCAAGAAATCGCCGACCAAAAATGATTTATTGCAGGCATATATTATGAATGACTTGGGAAAAAGCGTTACACTGATGCTAGACTGTAAAACAAGATGGTCGAGCCTTTCACAGATGATAACTACATTCAATAGGGTCAAACTATGCGTCTCTAAAACTTTGATCGATGTAGGGTTGGCGTCAAATCCAGAGTACTTCTTCAATGAAGAAGAATATAATGTATTGACGGATTTGGAACGAGTATTCCAGCCTGTGAAACTAGCTGTCGAAGTTTTGTGCCGGCGTGAGACGAATCTCATCACAGCAGAATCTACTCTGAAGTTCGTGATTAGCAAATTAGAAGGACAAGAAACACCTTTGGCTAAAAAACTTGCTACCTCATTGAGAAAACGCATTACAGAGCGACGCACCAACATGACTGCAGCTTTATTGTACCTACATGACCCTGGCAAGTACGAAGAAGATCTAATTGCATTTATGAACGACGAAACTTTCAAGTTACCTACAAAGAGTGTAGTCCGCAAAGAAATTATAAAAATCATAGAAAGATTACAGTTCAGTAACAGAGACGGACACACAGAATCAGCGTTAACCTCATCTGATGTGTATATGACGCCTTCAACCTCTACTCAAGATGACGATGATGTACCTCTTGCTACAGTGGCCGCAATGATGCAAGAAACTACGGAGCCTGAACCGATGTCTCTTCGTGATGAACTCGAACAAACTCTATCGAGTTTTAAAACTGCTTGTCGCACTCCTCATTCTAGAGTTCATTCTCTAGAAGCTTTGATTAAGAAAGAAATGAATTTGTTTGAGTCTGGTGGATCAAAAGGCACATACCTCCAATTCGCCTACAACTCTTTACTAACCGTTGTACCAACAAGCGTGGAAGCAGAGCGAGCGTTTTCTGCAGCTGGCTATCTGGCGTGTAAAGTTAGGAGTCGTTTGGCAGATGAAACTATCAACGTACTTTGTTTCATGCGCAGTTATTTCCAAAATAATGCCTAAACTAATTATTTTGTATGTTTAACTTTCAATACATTATTTTGAATATCACTTCTTGTTTAATTTTTAGTTACATACAGTTTTTGTTAAGTACATGCATTTATGATACAGGGTTCCTATCACTTTGCTTTAAGACTTTCAACATCATGCGGGATCCCGCAAATACCGGGATCCCGCGGGACTGAGGACCCTTAGTCCCGCAAATACCGGGATTGAAATATTGGGGCGGGATTGCATTCACTAAAGGTGAATATAAATATAAAGATTCCCTCTTTTCAAAAGAAAATATTATAAAATTGGAAAATTGTATAAAAAAAATTATTTATCAATCAAATCTATCTTATAATAAGCGTAAGTATTTTATTTTATCTGTTTCGACTGATCACGTGGTCAAAAGCACTGCGAGCACTGCACCTCGAAATCTCCAGTGCTCACAGTACAAATATGGCGGCAATTCATGACGTCATAAATTTCCCTACGGTACTGTAGCAGTGTACTGGCAGTCCATTACGGAACGGATTTTTCAGCAGTAAGACCACTGCGCAGTGCTCGCAGTGTATATCGGAACATACCCCTAAATTGAGTTACGTAAGTACCTATCATCTGTCAATGAGAGGCGGCGAACCTTATTGTGTACGCCCACTTTTGCTTCATAATCGAAATAAGTTAGAAAAATTTAGACAAACCAAAAGTGCACGGCGCGATTTTTTTATTATTAAAACACAACAGAAATTAGAAAAATAAAAGTAATATTGTCTAGATAATTATAGTTTTCATCGATTTTGCCACCTTTTGTTTAAAATGTACACACGGCTGCACGTCAGGTTACCACAATATGTTATATTCTACAGTTCATACCAAAACTCTATTCACTAAACATTAAAGTTTAAAATTAAGAAAAGAAATTTGAAAGATTTGTGTAGTTTGACATGTTGTCGACACTACATACAGGGCCTCGTAACAAAATGTTAATTATAGATAGGTAAATAGATGTTATTTTACAATGATTCGATTTTTGTGGTTACGTAATATAGTTATCTTGAGCAATCTTATTCAGATATGAGCTAATATTTGTATTAACTATTCAAAAAATACTTCTAAAGATAGTCACAGTCAGTCAGAGGACATAATTTCTGCCAGGGTTTCTCTTAAAAAAAATACACTTGTG